CTCCTCATAGAACCAGGATGACTGGTATAGACAGGAGCACCCCTTTCAGTTTGAATTAACATGTCTTCACTAGACCTGCTAATTCAACCCCCAGAAGAAGGATTGCAGCTGCTTCAATCTCATCTGTAGTGTAGACATGGCCTTATTATCCTCTACCAGCAGCAAATAGCAACATCAGCCTACGCCTATTTAGCTGTGCTGGCCAGCAAGTTGTGGAGATAGATCCATAATTCTACTCATTTCCCTACTCCAGCATTCAGGAGCAGTGAAGATGACACGATCACACAATATCTGCTTATCCCTGTGAGTCTTGCCCAAATCTAAGTAGCTTGTACAGAGGTTTAAGGGCAATTGTCCATGTCATGATCTTATCCTTAATATCTTCTGTTAATTTAACTAATATTCTGTTTATTTCCTCTTCCCAAACAATAAGGGGCAGAAAAAGACAGATCCTTACATAGATGTTCCTGGGGGGAGGGCAGAATCAGGGACTTTCCTCCATTCCATGGCTCATCTTGTGCAATGGCCTTGTCATAATCCAGTCCCAGAGCTCAGGAATGGATGAAGAAATCTATGTAGTTGCCCTATTTACTAGGCTCCTTAAGAAGGGGAAACTCACTTATAGGATAGAGTAGCCCTTGAGTCACTACTAGCCCAGACCAGAATGTCAGGCTGTGTCTACATTGGCAGCCGCTTTTGCGCAAAAATCTTGCCACCTGTCTACACTGACCGCGAGTATTTGCGCAAGAACACTGACGTTGTAATGTACAAAATCAGTGCTTCTTGCGCAAATACTTTGACGCTCCCGCTCAGGGATAAGTCCTCTTGCACAAGTATTCTTGCACAAGAGGCCAGTGTAGACAGGCAACGTTAATTTCTTGTGCAAGAAAGCCCAATGGCTAAAATGGCCATCGGAGCTTTCTTGTGCAAGAGAGCGTCTACACTAGCACGGATGCTTTTGCGCAAAAGGACATCTTTTGTGCAAAAACACATGCCAGTGTAGATGTTCTCTTGTGCAAATACTTTTAATGGAAAAACTTTTCCACTAAAAGTATTTATGCGAAATCATGCCAGTGTAAACGCAGCCTCACAGTCTAGTCATCATAATCTGGAATCTTTAACTCCTCACATATGCACATCAATAATTGGCACTGAAGGCTAAGGATAGAAATAATTCCTGCCCAACATAAAATTTATTCTCAGTTTAAGGTGAATTTCTTCCATGCAGTGTGTGTGTGTGTGTGTGTGTGTGTGTGTGTGTGTGTGTGTGTGTGTGTGTGCGTGCGTGTGCGCGCGCTCATTGTAGTTGCATAAGAGAGATGCAGAATAGGTTAGGATCTTTTTCTGGTGGAGAAAGGTTTTTTTTTAATTGAAATGCCTTGTTGATGAATCCTATACTTGTTAACAAACCAGTTTTACTTTTGATGACTCTCCTGACTCATAACAATTATTGGAAGAAAATGTTGCAATTGTCACAGTATTAAAATTTTCATTGTAAAGAATATAGAAATACAGGGTATTTTTCAATTCCAAGTGACTTTTTCAACTGAAATTTCAGTAAGTTTAGAATAAAAAACATTAAAAGGGATTGAAATTGAAATGAAATTCTGAAATTTTAAAAATAAAATATTTTGTTTCACCTGCACCACTCCTCTCCTCTTTCCCCCAATTTTTGTTTGCAAAAAATTGTGAGATTTCTCACGTTTTCCCTTGCTTCAGATTGGTGGGGTTGGTTTTTTTTGACATCTCAAAAAATTTACTGCATAGCAAAATCATTCAGATGATCAAGATTTCCAAAGATAAACCTTGGCAATGATTAGTAGAGTGACGACAGAGAAGGCATTTATTAATTTGAGGACTGCATGAAATAATACACGATCCCAGCGCTCTTTCCAAACTCAAAATTCTCAAAGCCTTTCAACAAACCTGATTTAAGGTTCATAGTTTGAATGATCTTAGGACAAGTTAAGTTATCCTGGACTGATTTTACATGGAAAGCATGCAGAATTGTGACTTCTTATCATTTGGCTTTGAGATTTAGGTTATTTGCAATCCAGATCACAAAGGAACACTGAAGAGAGTGGAGGAAGATGCAAGTCAGAAAACTGAACTGAAGTTCAACAAACCTGATTTAAGGTTCATAGTTTGAATGATCTTAGGACAAGTTAAGTTATCCTGGACTGATTTTACATGGAAAGCATGCAGAATTGTGACTTCTTATCATTTGGCTTTGAGATTTAGGTTATTTGCAATCCAGATCACAAAGGAACACTGAAGAGAGTGGAGGAAGATGCAAGTCAGAAAACTGAACTGAAGAAAACATCAGCCAAATTTCTGCAATGCACAACAGCCAAATGTTCACACACTTCTATTTATGATTTAGGTGATCAGGAGAATACTAGACACTCATACCTTTATAAATGTATACACATCTATGGTGTTGAAATTCAGGTGATTTGTATTCCGTCCATGTGATGAACTGAAAAGTTTCTGATTAACTGTACTACTCCTGATTGCTGAGCACCATTCTTTCATTTTTCTCATAAATTTGTCTCTGAGATTTCATCTGATATTCCAAATCCTAAAGGCCACATTTGGATGCCCTTAACCAGCCTGCATTCAGTCCAATTGCTTTTGGAATAGGGTATTATTCATGTGCATAAAGTTCTAAGAGGATCTGGCCATTAGAATTTAGTATATCTGCAAGATAATAAGAACTGGAAAGATGAGAAGCACTCAGATACCCAAGCACTCTGCAGAGGTTAGCTGTCCCTTGGGGTGCAACCTAGCTAAACATGCTGAAGCTCCTAAAATAGAGAAGTTTATAGGAATACTAAATAGCTTCCACTGGTGACTAAAAACCCCCAAACAAGATGGATCTTTAACAGTTGCTTTTTGTTTAATTGCTTTAATGTGTTCTGTACTTTGTTTATTTTTCCCACTACTGACAAATAGGGAAGAGAAATGTTTGAGCCAGGAAAAGAATGAAGAAACTACTTC